TTCAGAAGCCGTTGCCAGGAAACGGCTAGTGTAGACTTAAATATACTGTCGCGTTACTGTGTCAGTGATCTGTAAAGTGTATTTCCGAGTGATTTATACAAGTGGTCAAATCCTTCACAAATCGATACCCCCTTCCATAGTCACTCACGCCAGATACGTGACAGTATACTTATTGTACATGTGCACGATTTTGCTGTTAATTAACACGGTAGACTTGGAGAATAATCTGTCAATGGAAAACGTGTTCCGTATATGGACCACCGGCATCCAAGCGTATTTGTAGTGGTTGCAGAAAATTGGCAGATGCTGTTCGTAAATTGTCTGCAGTCATTCTGGTGACAACGGGTGGTGGTTCTTTCAGTTAACGAACTGTGGGGAGGTTGTTTATGTACACGTGGTCTTTTGGATACCCCAACTAAAATAGGTTGTGCGAGTTGAGATCGGGAAAAAATGGTGACCAAAGAACATCCATAAGCGAAACGTCCTAGGGAGCAATTTTTGATAACGTGATTGCGAAAATGCTCGTTGAAGGCGACCAGAATTGCTTTATTGAACTACAGTACCAGCAGAATAGTATGTTGTTGCTGTAAAAACACGGTATTATAGCGGATCCTAGCCACTTTTTAAGGATATGTCGGGACTGTTTCATTCATACTGATTGCTGTCCTGTGGAACCAATCTGTGCAACTGGTCAGACACGATAACTTCATTGCAGTAAGTGACCTGTTGTCACCACGCGCTATACAGTATTTCTTGAAATTGTCATATGTGTGTTTTACAACTTATTATATATCTGATGGACCGCCTCTGTGGTCTACTGATCAAGGGTTCCTGGCTACAAACTAAGAAGTCCCGGGTTCAATTCCCGGCGCCACCAGATTTTCTGGTAAGTAGTGGGTCTGGAACGGGGTCCACTCAGCCTTTCGAGGATAATTGAAGAGCTGTTTCAAGGAAATCGCGGCTCCGGTCTAGAAAATCGAAATTATCGGCCGTGGGGATTCCTTGCGCTGACCACGCGACACCTATCCGCTAAAGTTGGCACTAACTTCGCCGACAAGCGGCGGTCGCTCCGTCGGTATAGTTCGTTTGCGGGCTAAAGCCACGGAGTTTTGTTTTTATTTATATATCTGAGGCACCAGGTTCAGTTAGGTAAACACCGAGATAAGCTGATACTGTAGTGCGTATACCGTTAACATTAATTTAGTACATAAAGACCAATATATGTGTGAATCATTCTGACGAGATAGCGCGCACATCTCATCGAGTCTCCTTAGTACTGCAGTTGGGCCGCGCCATAGCTCAGGCGGTTAGTCGCTGGTTTCCCACCGCGGCGGCCCGGGTTCGATCCCTGGTCTGGTCAAGTGGGATTTGTGGTGGACAAAGTGGCGCTGGGGCAGGTTTTCTCCGAGTACTTCGGTTTCCCCTGCCAATCTTCATTCCACCAATTGCTCCGCAATCACCCTCACCTATCGTCTGGGGCTGGTACAGTAGGCCAGTAGTGGCATCAAGTGGACTAGTCTCACCCGACTAGGAATAATAATAAAAAAATAATAATGGCAGTACTGCAGTTACTCAATTGAAATTCAGTGATACGGGACAGTTTTGGTCACGTGTCTGCAAACTGTGTAATCCGTGACTGAATCCTCGTCTGTTTTGGATAGTCAGAACACAAAAGGAAGGGCACATGCAGTCTCTGGACAGAGTGTTGCTCGGGGTAATGAGGCGAAATGCAAGTATTTGAGGGTCAGCGTTGTTCAGAATTGCCAAGTAGTAGCCTTCAAGCACTCGTTGAAACCTAACCGTTTCAAAATACGGAGAAAAATCGAAACTGAGACTTTGGTCACCTAAAAGTTTCCCGTGACACAGAAGAGAAGCGCTTGTACATTAAGGGACTTGCCGAGAAGAAGTTTTGGCTTCACTGCATATCGGTTCGTAGGGCATCATTGATATCTACAGAAATGTGAATTATGAAACATTCCCGGGGAAATAAAAGAAAATAATGATAAAGACTTATTCACTCCATCTTAAAGAGGAATGCATGTTTTTCTCGCAGAGTTGAGGACGGAAGGAATGGATGGGAATGTTGTAGAAAGGTACTTTGACCTACTCGAGGATGTTACGGAATAATTAGTAATTCAAGAGTATTCTGAGAAGTTGTTCAGCGTGGATAAAACTGGACTTCCTGCCATTTCTCTGAAGAAATCGTTGTTGAAGAGGAGGAAATTGCAGAGAACGGCCATACCGTGTTGAAAACGGCCGTTCTTGTCCGATGACCGAAATGAAGCATGACATTTGTTGGCTGCTGTATTTCTGCCGGTGTGTGTATTCCTCACATGCTGGTTTTTGAGGGCGCGAAAGTTAAAGCGAAGGTACAGTTGTGCCTGTGGTTAATTAAGCATCACGCCATAAAGGCGCATTCATCTAGGCAGTAGATAGATATGAGTGATCACCTTTACGCTTCGGCCGGTTTCCCCCCGGGAGGCAGTCCCCGGAGGTTGGTGGCGGCGCAGAGCCGGTCTGGTTACTGTGGAGGAGACAAAATGTCTTACCCATACCGGGAATCTAACCCTGGCCATCCATCCAGCTATACCGACTGACCTGTCCGGGTTCATTTTCGAGGGCGTAACGATTCAGAAACCGCCTTGCTTGTCAGCAGAATCTGCCTGTTGCGTAAACTGTACAAATGACAGAATTGGTTACTTTTTTCTTTATTTCTAGTGGGGTGGGACTAAGTCCCTTGTACTGCGGCCAATTCTTGCCTATTGTACCAGCCCCAGATGATAGGTGAGGGTGATTGTGGAGCAGTTGGTGGAATGAAGATTGGCAAGGGAAACCGAAGTACTCGGAGAAAACCTGCCCCAGCGCCACTTTGTCCTCCACAAATCCTACTTGAACAGACCCGGGCCGCCGCGGTGGGAAGCCAGCGACTAACCGCTTGAGCTATGGCGCGGCCTTTTTCAGCCTAACATTCTGATGTTTCAGTCAGCTCCGACTTACCATAACGATTTCTGATTTACGTATCCATCCAACCTGTCAGTCTGAAGGATTTTTTTGTGGTATCCCCAGGTTAAATACGAGCATTTCCTCTTCACGGGAGAATGTAATCGCCCAAGACGAAGAGCATGTAGCATAAACGTGAATACTCTTGCTGGGGCAGTCGCGGCCCTTTTTATAAGCCTAATTTCACTTTCATTTTTATTTTATTTTATTTCGAGCACAACTGTGTAATATTTGTAATTTGTTATGTGTTTTTAACCAGAAAAGTGAAGGTTTCTAGCCTTTGGCAAACCGATCACAGTGACTGCGCGGTCTAACGCATGAACTGTCTTCGCTCTCTCGAACACTGCGGTCGTGGATTCGAATCCCACTCGAGGCACGGATGTCTGTCTATATTGTCCTCTGTGTAGGTAGTCGCCTTTCAGTGGGCTTATCCTCCGTCCAAGGAGTCCTGTCGATTGCGTATAGGATGAGGGAACTGTAAAAGCGGCCAGGATCCAACAAAAGGACTGTAGAGCGGTAGACAGACAGACAGACAGATATGTAGATAGGTAGGTAGTGGGTGGGTGGAAGGGTGGAGTGTTTGGTTCGAGAAGAAACGTGTAGCTAGACCTCTTGGAAAACAAGACCAAAGTAATTAATTAGGTCCACTATACCCTAAAGGTAAAGGCCGCACCATAGCTCAAGCGGTTAGTCGCTGGCTTCCCATCGCGGTCGCCCTGGTTCGATCCCGGGTCTGGTCAAGTGGGATTTGTGGGAAGCCAGCGACTAACCGCTTGAGTTATGGTGATCGTACGAGACCCAGTGTTATCCATGTGGTGTGGCCGTTGGCGTCGTTATATTAACAGAAATAACTGTCGTTAGTATTGGAAATGTAATGATTATTATTACTGTTTCTTCTGTTCGTAGTGCTTTTCATATAGGGCACGGAAATTTGTTATGTAATACTGCAAAACAAGGGCATTAAGTTATACTTACTTATGGAGCTGAGCCCTTCTTGAGGAGAAGCCAAATCTGCAGCTACTCAAGAATTTCCCAGCATTTTATGGAACCCGAAGGTTGATTACCGTGTTCACAAGAGCCCACCACTGGTCCCTATCCTGATCCAGATCAATCCAATCCATACCATCCCATCGTATCTCTCTAAAATCCATTTTAATATTGTCCACCCATCTACGCCTTGATCTTCCCAGTGGGCTCTTCCCTTCTGGCTTTCACCGATATCCTATATGCATTCCTTTTCTCCCCAATTCGTGCTACATGTCCTGTCCACTTCATGCACCTTAACTTGGTCATTATAATTATACTTGGAGAAGAGTGCAAGTTATGAAGCTCCTCATTATGCAGTTTGTATTAGTTTTTTTTCCCCCATGCCACTACAGCCCCAGTGGGCCTAGGCCAACCTCCATGAACTTCTCCGTTCACTTCGGTTTTTCTAGATCTTACACGTTCGATAGGACTCCTTGGGCGGGTGATCAGCTCATCGCAAGGCCTCTACCTGTACACAAACACAGAAAAACGCACACAAACGTCCATGCTCTGAGTGGGATTCGAACCTACGATTCCGGTTTCCGAACAAGCGAAGACAGTGCATGCCTTAGACAGCTCGGCTACCGTGACCGGCCTTGTATTCCGTTATAAAGGAACAAATTTCTGCCGATTGCCGTTATCCTTTTGGACATACGGAGGTGGAAAATGTTCGCAGGCGCCCGGTGAGTCTTGTCGGATACTGGCAGATAAGGGCTGCTTAACACTTTTTTGTAATTTAGCCTGCCGCATGAATTAATTGTATGTTTCATGTTGCTGATAGTTCTATAGTATTGTGAGATCCGCGACATGTCGGCGTCCCCGTGCTGCTTGGGATTAATGAACAGATATTCTCAGTTATTATAATGTCAAGAACAAGAGATGATCGAAGGCCGCAGTGCAAGGGCCGGGTAATTTTGGTCCACTCCTTATGCATATATTCATTATTATAATGCCATGTAATTTGTTTGTTTCAGTTGGAACTGGTGATAGACAACTTACCGACGCTGTCTGGACAGTTCCTCTGCGCCTTCACAGCCCTGGATAAAACGCTGATAACAAACGCCACTCGAAAATCGTACGGAGTGAACTGCACAACCCCCCGGACGGATGTGCTGCCGTCCATTCCACAAGGACAGCGTAAGTAGACATACCTTCGCATTGTGCACTCTCTCTCCATTACGCCGTATGCGTGCGTGTGTTGATCACAAACGGGGCATTGCAGGTACGAGGTCTGACAGCAGCACCGCTTGAAATTTTGTTCTGGACTGCAGTGATCACCTTCCAGAGTTGTCACCAACTGTCGAAGCATTTCCAAAGCTATTTTCTTGGAAAGGGGCACAAGTTGGTTGAGGCACTATGTTAGTAGCTATGGCTGTCGGGTCCATTAAGCCTCTGACAGATATAAAAGTACCAGGAATCTTCCTAAGGGTAAAGAGTGGCCGGCGTGTAAAACTGACAGCCTTCCCGCAATCTATGAGTCCATTGTCTATAGAAAATATTGGAGCCTCGACGTCTCACAACCCTGTGGGCTTTCGCTGCCTGTTGCATGGATAGCTTTTATTTTCATGGGAGTTATTTAGAACTGTCGTAACTTTATGAATCTGTTCCACGGTTTCAAAATATGTTCATTTGATATGACTCTTAATTGTAGCAGCCACAGGGAGCTAGATTTGGCGATTAAACAGTTTGTTCCGGAACAAGATCTGTTTTTCGCCCTCCGTCTCCTTGAAGGAAAGCGCTGTGTATGTGAGGTTCTTGCCATTACTTACTCAAGAAGCTGAGCCATTTTGGGGAGCCGCCAATTCTGCAGCTACTCAAGAATTTCCCAGCATTTTATTGAACCCTAAAGATCAATACCGTGTTCACATTCCTATCCTGAGCCAGAACAATCCAATCCATACCATCCTATCCTATCTCTCTGAAATCCATTTTAATATTGTCCACCCACCTACGCCTTGGTCTTCCCAGTGGTCTCTTTCCTTCTGGCTTTCCCGATCTTCACCGTTATATAAGACAGGTGGAGGAGGCATTTTTTGTAATTCTTTATTGTGACCGTGTTGTATATTTGAGATACTACAGTGAGTTTGCTAGACATCACTTAGTGAAGCGAACAACCGTTACGTGGCTGCAAGTGATGTCTGGGTGTTCCGCCTGAGTGCGCAGTCGCAGAATTCTGATGACTTCTAGGTGTATATATTACTTGCATTGTATTCTTCTTAAAAAGTAAACATGCAAAATAAATGGCTCTGTTATCTGTTTCTCGTATTTTGTCACGTATTTAATATATAGGCCTGTCACGGTAGCCGAGCGGTCTAAGGCATGCACTGTCTTCGCTCGCTCGGAAGCCGGGATCGTGGGTTCGAATCCCACTCAGGGCGTGGATGTTTAGTTTGTGTGCGTTTTTCTGTGTTTGTGTACAGGTAGAGGCCTTGCGACGAGCTGATCACCCGCCCAAGGAGTCCTACCGAATGTGTAAGATCTAGAAAAACCGAAGTGAACGGAGAAGTTCATGGAGGTAGGCCTAGGCCCACTGGGGCTGTAGTGCCAGGGGGGGGGAAGAAAATTTAGTATTTAGGGAGCGTCATGCTATATTTATGGAGTGTGAACTAAATGCGCCAATCACAGTGGTCTCCCTGTGTAAGCCATGAACTGTCTTAGCTCACTTGAACGCTGGGATCGTGGGTTCGAATCCCACTCAAAGCATGGATGTCTCTGTATGTATTTATTGTGTTTATGTTGTTTTGTGTGTAGGTAGCGGCCTTGCGACGGGCTGATCACTCGCCCAAGTAGTCCTACCGTGTGTGTAAAAAAGATTACGAAACTGAAGAGGATGCCACGGCCCAACAAAGGGCTTTAGAGCCATTGATGACTCAATGAATGATTTATTGAACTAAATGCGTTTTTTTAACAAGTAGTTACTTTGAAATTCAGAATTGTGGGTTCACAGTGAAACAGTTTCACGACTGGTTCCACCCTGAACGAATTTTGCTCGGAATTTTTCGTTTAGTTCCTGTCCCGTCATCCAATTTAGTTCAGAGCTGATTTCTTTTTTGGGGCCACGGTCTCATCTTCTTTGAGCCCTCTTTGCTCTATCTACTCCGTCAGGTTCTATTTACGGTTCGTAGCTTCGACTGATACAGCGTCGTTGAAATCGACCATACTTAACCTGCGTAAACATAGATTATAAACGTGGGATGTAGAAATGACGGGTTCTGCACTTGGTGCATGACTGAATTTTGGAACTGGACTCCGCTGTGTTTGTAAGGCTACAGTGGCCCGACGGCTCCACGGTGTTGATTTCCCTGACGAGAACATGAGTCGAACGTGGGCCAGGCCGTTCATGGCAGCTTGTGCCGGACACTCCGTCGGTTATTAACAGTGATAACTATTTCAATCAGATATTTGTATTGGGACGCTCATGGCAGTTTGCGCATCCGTCGTAGTCACTACTTGACGGAATACATTATTGGCAATAATTACAATTTCAGTGAAATGTTGGTTATTTGTACCATCTGTCCCCTATTTGTATTAAATGTTGTAGACTAATTTATAATTTTTATTTTTAAAAAATGTAACTGAGATCATGGGATGTTTCGCATCCTTTATAGTAGACTTTTATCAGTTTATTTATTCATATTTTAAATAATGGTTCTTGACACAGCCCTTTGCACTAGACAACATGGATTTCACGTGCAGTATGTCATCCTGTAAGCGCAGGTAGTATTATGACGCGGTTATGACATTGTTAACGAAAACGAACATTCTGTTATAGACTGTGGCCAGAACTTCGTTGACAGGGTGTACAATACTCGTGGCACCACGCTCTGCATATGCCCTCTATGTAACTCTCAGTACGAGCAGCATTCTCGGTGTCCGAAATTCACTTTCAGTTTCGCAATGTAGGGTCAGTTGGTGTTGTCTGCCCATTCTATATTTTCCATGGTACCACACGTATTTTCATTTGGCCGCAACAGGGGTCCTTGCGTCCCGCCACGGTTTCCGCGGTTACGTGTCTGATTGGAGAGTTTATTGTAATCGCTGCCCCCCCCCGCACCAAATTCCTGTTTTATTTATAAACGTCAGAGTCATTTATATTCCAGATTATTATTGTTACGGATTGGTACGCTGGAGAACTGTGTGTGCGCTTCCCACCGCGGCTGCCAGGGTTCGAGCCCTGGTCTGGTTATGTGGGATTTATGGTGCACAAAGATGCATTGGAGGATATTTCTTCGGGCACTTCGGTTCTCCCTTGCCAATTCTCATTCCACCGTCTGCTCCACATTCATCACTATCATCCAGGGCTGGTGCAGTAGGCGAATTAGTGGCCGACGTATCAAGTGGACTCAGTCTAACCCTACCCCAAGAAATAAATAAAAAAAACTTAATTCTTGTTCCGAAGTGTAGAGTCTCACTAACGGTGTTTGATGTTGCGTCATAGGTGTAGCACTGTAAATGGGTGTACGTAACGTTGTATTGCTTTCCTTTGTTTAAAAATATTGACACAATTGCGTGCTAATTTGTAGAATTGTAATTAATGTTAATTTGTGCTGAACCCGCTGACTGAAAAGAAGATATTTAACTTTCAAATTAAATATCTGTACTTTTAAATCCGGGGGCACGCGGTAGCGTAATTGGTTGAGACACTATGTTACAAGCCGGAAGGTCGCGGGTTCAAGTCCCGATGAGGTCATCGGATTTTTTTTTCAATTGACCAAATCCTTCCAGCCGCACTATGGCCCTGGGGTCGACTCAGACTCTAACAGAAATGAGTAAATAATAATTTTTCTGGGGAGTAAAGCGCGGCCGGCGCGTAAGGCTGACAACCTTACCGCCATCTTTGAGCAGATTGTCTAGATAATGTGGGACCCTCAACGTCTCACAACCCTATGGGCCTTCACGGCCTGGTACAGGGATAGCTTTACTTTACTGACTTTACTTTTAAATCCAGTTCTCGCCAATCATCGACGGCGTCTGATACATCGCGAGTGTAAAAGCAAAGTTTTTTCAAAAGAATCTTAATTACTCAGCAAGTTGAAAAATATGAATGGCGAGAGATGCCAATAATTTGGGATAAAGAAGAGTCTGAACTTTCTTGTTACTACTAGCAGCAAGTCACAACAAGAAGCAATAAACTTAGAATTGTCTTCTTTGTTGTGGTTTAATGTCATTTTTGAGGGTTGAAAACTGTCGACTAAAGGCCAAAAGTATTCCGTGATGTAAATGTACTAGAGTTCTGTGTAGCTTAACAGAGTCGCTTTTTGATCGGTGATTTCTTCTGTGAAGTTTTGTCTGTAACATTTATCACGAGGTATAAGCAAAACTGAAATCTTGAGATAAATCTTTTGCATTTTAAACAGATAACAGAGTTCACTTAATCATGTAATCTTGCTGGGTGCTTCCGTCTAAGAGCGCGGACACGGTATGTAAACTGAAGAGATGTCTGCATTACTGTTCCATGAGACAGCAGCAATACCTTTGTGAAGTTGCCTTCATTCTTGCAGTGCGAAACACCTTTAATTTATCTATATCGCTATGGGAGGATCTTTTTAAACTTTTTAAGAACTACTGATGGCGTGCAAAAATCGGCCACGACCACTTTCCATCCCGTATCTCTTGTGTGAGTATTCGTAGTCCTCTGTGCATCTGTCAGTTAACGTCACGTGACGGCCGCGCCATAGCTCAAGCGGTTAGTCGCTGGCTTCCCACCGCGGCGGCCTGGGTTCGATCCCGGGTCTGGTCAAGTGGGATTTGTGGTGGACAAAGTGGCGCTGGGGCCGGTTTTCTCCGAGCACTTCGGTTTCCCCTGCCAATCTTCATTCCACCAAATTCTCCATCATCATAATCACCCGGGGCAGGCTACAATAGGCCAATCACTGGCCGACGTGCCGAGTGGACACAGTTGGACTCCACCCCCCACTAAGCGAATTAACGTTACGTGACGTGTATGAGTGATATAACGTTCCTGAGTGGCACAGAAATGTAATTTAATAAATACTGAAGGACACCGGCCATCTGTCTAATTCTGCGAATCAAACTCCCGGTTCCACACGTGTTTTGCTTAATAGCAGTTCAGCTATCCGGGAGGCCGAAGCTGTTTGTAACTTCCAGTGGGACATACAGGTAAGACATGAACTTTA